TATTTTTTAGAACAATATTTTATTTTTTTTATTCTCTAAAATACTTTTTAAAAAAATATTATCAAACAAATATTTTTATTCTCTTGTTCTAAAAAACAGAAAATTGTTCTTAAAATAAGTTTTTAAACAGTCCCTAAGAACTCGTTTTCTGTGATTCCTTTTCTAATTCCTTTTGCCAATGACATCAAAAGTACCGGCTATAGTCTAAATATTTGAAATCGGAGTAGCACGAGGACACTAGAGCATGAAGGTGTTGGACTAATTGTTAAAAACTCACAGAACATGCATGCATTAGCTTAATTTTAGTGTCTATCATTAAGTGTAGATTGTAAAATTTTGATCGTCGGAGTGAGAACAGGACTATATTCAGTCCTAATAGAAAAACATTAAGTACAATAGGTTACTGTCCCTCCATTGATCACCTATAAGGAGGAAGCTAAAATTTAAAACTAATTGCAAGATATTATTCCTTTGAAGATATAACAATGTACAAGCGTCAAGCATCAGGTTCAATCACAGGATCGATTATTATCAAGAAATATAGAAAACCCAATTCTAGTTTCAATCAGAAACAAAAAATTCAAAACAGCACAAAAATCATCATTCTGCTAGTCTGGGATTTTCCCAATTGCAAACAAACAATTCATGTGTTGAGAGCTAGCCAGAAGCTGTCTTCTTTTGCTGGAAGACGACGGCGTAGACGGGAACAAAAACACCAATGCTGAAGGCACTGAACACAGCAAGGGACATCTTCAATGGACGGTTCTTCATTTTATCCAAGTTGTACATGTGTTTTGCATGTAGATATTCTGGTTCATCATGGCCATGCCCATGTCCACCTCCCATCCTCTTAACCCCGGTGGAACGGAAACCTCTGCTCACTGTTACAACACAACTTTATCTTTTAATTCATCCTTGCCAACATGAACATCGTTCAAAAAAATGATCCCATCTCCATACAGGGGCAAAGGTCCATAAGTTTTATAAGGGATGGAGAGCAATCGCAATACCTTTAAAGAGAAAGCATTGCTATGTATGGTATGCTTTGTTAGAATGGTAATGATCTTCCAAACTCCAACATGGTAATGGTAATGATCTTACAACACAACTTTATCTTATAATTCATCCTTGCCAACATGAACATCATTTAAAAAAATGATCCCATCTCCATACAGGGGCAAAGGTCCGTAAGGTTTATAAGGGATGGAGAGCAATCGCAATACATTTAAAGAGAAAGCATTGCTATCTACGGTATGCTTTGTTAGAATGGCAATGATCTCCCAAACTCCAAAGCAAGTGTGCGTGTGTGTAGCAGCATTCTCCCAATAAAAGACTGAAGAAAACAGTGACTTCCAAAGAATTTCGAATGTCAACCCTTATGTGATCTCTATAGCAGTTCTTTTAACAGAAGTGAGATCTGAAGCCTATTCTATCGTTGAAAAACTGACACCTTGTAAACATAAATAATAGGAAAGTAGCAAAAGAATCAACAAACAAGAGGCTTTCAAGCATACTAACCCTTGGAGAACGTAGAATTTAATTACAATATCAAGTTAAATTTACTAGGCTAACTTGATATGAATTCCAATTCCGAGAAATAATTCCTAAGTCAGATTATAACAACATTGCCTTAAGACATGAAGATCCCCACCTCACTATATTTTGCCACAGCAGTTACATCTTAAAGCTAGCTTTCCATTTCTAGGAGAGACACTTCCTTCATATAATGGCTCTACTGCTCTTAAGACGAACAATCCAACCTTACACGGTTTTACTTTGGAAATTTATCTTGCAATTTATTTCTATTCCAAGGAGTCTCACCTCCATGGCAGAATATGAATTTTATGTGCTTTTATGGCTCTTTAAACTAAACAGAATTAGTACCCTGTATTTTACTGTCATTCATACTTGTCCACGAGAGATATTATCAGAAAGATGCACATGCACTGTCAGTTATGCAAACTACAGTCTAGGTGGTCCATGAAAACTGCCCAATTAAGCATCGAACTGAGGAAGCCTCCTCAGACTTCAGTTTTTGGGGATAAAAATCCTCCTCAAACTTGACCATCCAAACTCCATAGATTAAAGCAGTTCAAAAGAAGCATCTAAGGAATTTTTCTACCACGCTATGCAGTAACACATATCATTCTTAAGATCATCAAACAAAAATGACACGATCCTTAGGTAGCTCAAAATTTTCTGCGTAGAAAGTGCCTTATTTTGGGTCTTGAAATCATGACATTCTTGTTTGAAACATCAAGCATGGTACCTGGGAGTTCGCACCTAAATTCTCGAAGGAATAGCAAAGTTCCAGAGTAGAATACCATATTTTGCAAAGCGTCTCCCAGAATTTCATTTCATTTCATTTCAGAGTAACACGAGCCTAGAAAACCCCGCGTTTTTTGTTCACTAAAATTAAAATTTGATTTAAAAACTGCCAAACCTTAAATTGTATTGGTAACAATAATAGTTCTTAAGAGAGCAACTATTACGGTTCGGGTTCGGCGATATGCCCGCCACCAACACCCTAAAAAACTATAAACCGTGAAGTGAATCAATCTTGTGAGAAGCTTATTAATTATTCTCTGATCTTAACCCTCCTCTCAGATCAAAACCACGTAAACTAACAAAAACCGTCCATTTCACCCCAACAGGAGACATAAAATGAAGATAAAAAAATTAGCAAACCAAAGAAGAACCGAAATTTCATATAACAAGGCTAAGGAATCATAAAATGCAGATAAAAAAAATTAGCTCAAACTCTGACGATCGATCCATAGCCTCATTGAACAGTTTGTCATCTACCAAATAGAGAAGGGAATATACAGGCGTGACTGACCTGACTTTGAAACCAACGTGTCAGAAGAGTTGAGGAGCCTCGCAGCAGATCTGAATCCATTGTTCAAAGCCATGACAGATGGCACGAGATGAGATGCAACAGAAGACGACGTATTTGCCTTTCACTGGTTCTTCTTCGATCTCCTGTAATTGTTGCTTGTTATTAGTTTTCCAGAGAATTTACTCTAGGCCTCAGCCATCATGAGAATATTCGGGTTTTGTTTCCAGGCACCCTTCTGGACAGAATCGGGTTAGGTCTCCAGGGGGATGAAGACACCTGGTGGGTGTTTTGTGGGCCAAGAATTCGGCCCATCCGTTGGGCCAAAATGAAAAAAGGCCTCACATCTAACAAGTTGTATTAAAAATGAAAAAAATAGAACTAGTATGTAAGGCATTGTTTTTTTTTTTTTTGGGGCAACAACGAGTATACAATGTTAAAGTATGGAAGTTTAATCATTTTTTTCTTATTTTTTATACATATGATATAATGAGTTACTTTATAATTATTACAAAGATATTTTTTTATGTTCAATCTTTCAATTTATTCAAAGTTTTAAATTTAAGTTATTTTCTGAACTTAATGTTAATTTTGAAGAATGTAACTGTTTTTAATACATGTAAAGCGTGTATGTTTGATAGGATACAATGTGATAAATGAGATGCAATTTTCAGAAATTTAAAATACAAAGATATGTGTAATATACGAAAAACATATTTGTAAATTCTTATAATTTGTTTTAATTTTTATTTAGGCCCATGTAATTTCATTTGTTACAATTACACCCTTGTATTTTACATGTCAATCTTTTTACCCCCCGGCCGATTAACATGGTTAATGTTATGTGATGTGGTTGATGACTATGCACACATCCAGATAAATAATCCACCCAAAAGATGTGATGTGGCTTATTTGTCTTCTTCTCCCTCTCTCTCTCTCTCTCTCTCTCTCAAAAATTTTTCCTTTTCTCTTCATATTTAAGATTAATAAAAAAAATTCACTACTACTTTATTTTTTCAATTGTGTACAGCCAATTCAGAACATGATTAAATACTAAATAAGAGTCAAGAATTTTAACAAGTTGTACCTCTTTTATTAGATCTAATTTTCTTTTGGTGCTTATCCTTTTTAATTTAGGCATTTGTTTGTCGTAAGATTGCACCATTAAACTTGATAACTAATATTTTTCAATAATAACTTTTTTAACATTTCAAAATTTTGATTATTAATTAAAAATTGAATTGTCAGAGACACGTATTTATAGTTAATAATTACTTTTTTTGCCAACATATATTTAATAATTAATTGAAAAATAATTCAACTTTAAATATACTTAATTTTTTCAAGAAAAACCGAGAAGCATATATAGAGATTGAATAAGAAAAATAATAAAAATAGAACAGAATAAAACCAATTTTTTTATTAATCAAATTAGTAAAATTACATTTACACCTTGTACCTATGCCTACAATCACATCACACATTGCTCCTCGTATACACATACTCCCTGATTATAATATATATTATTGTTAATTAATTTACAATTTACAAAAAATATTAATTAAAACCTTAATTTTTAAAAAATGTACACATCTTTCTATTTATGTCTTTTTAAGAGTTCCTTGTAATATATCTATGGTCTTTAAATATGAATCAGTTAAAGACAAGGAATAAAATAAACAAGGGTACAAATGAAAAAAAAAATATAAAATTTACCCAATACTCTATATTTTGTTTTTAAAAAATGACTTATATTGTGGTCTGAAAAAAAGTGAAAATTTGAAACGTATCCCCCATATGCTATATGGATTGATTAAACAAGAGTACTCTATATCGATTCTATTCTTCAATCATCAACTAATTAATCCATGGCTCTTTGAAAATTATTCATATCAATTAAACATAAAAGGCAAAAGCACATTTTTTTTCTTTAATTTTATACAATATTTTATTTTAATCACTTAATTTTATACAATATCTTTAATTGTCAATCTTCAACCATCAACATCGTTAGTTTCATTAAGAAAAAAAATTATAATTAAAACAAGAAATAATCATTTCAAGACTTATAATGTTAAGGTAATTGGAGGACTGAAAACATATATATATTTTGTAAAATTAAAAGATCAAATTAAAATATTATATAAAATTAGATGATTAAATGTGTACTCTTATCCAGGTCCAGAAAAAAAATGTGCACTCTTGTGGAAATAAAAATAAGATTGAAAGTAAATAAAAAAAAATTAGGCTTGAGGAGGAGGAAGCAGCCACTCAGAAGCTTGAATGAAGCCAAGAGAAAGGAATTCCTTGGCATCAGCATCACTAAGGAACTTTGTGAAGGGGGCACGTCCTTTGGTATTTGCACCATCTCCGCTGTTCTGATACTCTCCAAAATATACCGTCCTGCATTTATATAATGTTAAATTAAAAATACAATAAATTGAATTTCATTCAATATACACACATACATTTAATTAAATAAATCACAAAAACGATACGTATAATTTGTCATGTGAATTTTATGGAAGCAAAGAGAATAGTGTGAACAAATTTGTGGATCTCATAAAAATGGGGTTTATTTATTATCTTTTCTCTACTAATTTACTAACTCTAATGGCGTGTTTGGGAAGTAAGATGAGTAGAAAATACTAAAAAACAAGGGGATGAGGATGAGGATGAGGATGGAATAGTATGTTACGTATATATGTTTTATATGTGGTATAAATTTTTTTTTTTAAATTTTACTCCTAACCTAGCATTTTCCCATAAAAAGGAAGACACACACACCTACATGCTCACACATATATATCAAAGCTGAGTTTGAACTTAGAACTTCTTTCAAGTAAGGAAGATGGCGTTGTTATTAAAATAGTTGACCATTGACATATAAATGTTTTTTTAATCATTATATATTTGGTAGAATATAAATATATTTAAATATTCATATGATGAAGTGATTTGCTTTGAAAAAATGTAGGGGAAAATGAGTCTTTTTTTTATTTATTAATTTTCCCGTATTGCCTTTTTACATTTCCATTCTATTGAACTTAATTAAAACAAAAACAAATGCTGCTCCTTCTTCTAGTCCTTAATTATTTAAGATGCCATCTAGAAGTTTTTTTTTATGCTCCTAAATATAAACTAATTTGCAATAAATCAATAACATCAAAATTCTCCTTTTCCACAAATACACTTATTATTGTGTTACTTAGAGAGATTTCAGATAAGAGAGAAATTGGACTTAATTAAATACCCTAAAATTGATATTCATGAATTTTTGTAAAGTTCCCTTTTTTATACTTTTATTCATTTTATTATTTTTATAAAATATGAAATATTTTCTCTTTTTTTCAAAGACAAACTTCATAAAATTCATAAATTCTCAATTCCATAGGATTCATTCTCAAAGAAACTAAATAAGGAAATTAAAATAAGTTAATTGTAATTTCAAAATAGTCTCAAAAAGTAGTGATATATATATATATATATATATATTAACAATTTACATGATATAAATTACTTTTAACTAGTTTTTTTTTTTATATTCCTCGTGAAGTAGTTAAATATCTTAAACCCAAATAACATGTAGATTCTATATATTTACGAGAGAGAGAGAGAGAGAGAAGAGAGGGTAATTAAATACGTACTGAGCCATAGAAGGATGGTTGTTGATGTTCCAACCAAGAGGAGTAATAATGTCACTCATGGAAGTATAAGCATACACAACTCTGCCATGAGACATCCATGCTCTTCCCAAGAACGTCCCATTGGCACTCCCACTTATGTCACAGTGAACAAACGAGTACCCTATGGTGTCGTCGTCGCTCTCTCTCGCCTGAGCTGCGATCACGCCGCCGACGTTCCCCACCACCACCAGCTTTGTGTTCAGATACAGCGACTTGCCGCTCCCAAATATGAAATCAACTGTGCCTTGGATTGTACAGTCCTTAAACAAATGGTTTCCTCTGTCATCACATAGCGTGTCTTGAAACCCTAATAACACGCAGTTGTAGAAGGCGGACTTGTCGCCGGACACACGGATCGCCACCGGCTGAGCTCCCTCCCTTCGCCCGTCCGGTATCGGCGCCGAATTCTACCATCAAATATATTAAGATCAAGTGTTCGTTAGTCTCGTAAATGATCAATGTCATAGGGAAAATGAAAAATTATCACATGCATCTTTGTGTAATAGAAGTATAAGAGGCTCACTATTTTTTTTTTGGGAAGTTAGATAATATGTGTTATGAAAATATTATAATGTATATTATTTAGATTTAGATAATCTTTCGGTTTGTTTCTAAACTTCATAAAATTTCTCAGTTTAAAGACAAATATAATTTAATAGATATAGAATATGTGTGAAACAACTTATAGTTCAAGTTTATTAACGTAACATGCATTAATCAATTGTATTTATACGGATCCAAATATTAATGCAATAACGCACTATAAATTTAAGACGAATAAAGAGTACCTTAGTAATATATATGTTGGAGGCAAAAAAAAAAAAAACCTTGTATTTATTTACTTTTAAGCAGAAGAATACATTTCAAAATTCTATATTTTAATATTTTTCTATAAAATTTGTCATGTTAATTTCAGAAATAAATCAACCTGATTTTAAATTCATGACCATGTGCACATACCATGACACCACAAAATTATAATGTCTAAATGATATATTATCAATATTCAACATCATGCTTAATTTTGACAATAATAACTGGATAATTCTAAATTATATTCATGCACTCTTCTGATAGATCAACACAAACATTCAATCAAACATTATTGCTAATTAGTACTAAAAACCTATATTCACCAAACAAGCATGCTCCGTTAGACGCAGATAAATCCAAACATGACTAATTATATAAGTCAGTGAATTATATACCATGACTTATTCCCACGTATTCAACTCTATCACACCTAATTCCTTAGAAAATTCAGTAAATTCTCGATCTTTGTGAAAAAAATTGAAAAATGATGAGTTAAACTTACCATAAGTTTCATTATTATTATTATTATTATTATTATTATTATTATTATTATTATTATATATCAAGCAAATGAAACTTTTAATCTTTTAAATTTGTCTTACTTATTTTCAAAACCATATATATAATTAGTCTTTTTGATTTGAAGGAGAAATTTTGGTGATTTAATTGATAAAGATTAAAGTTTAAGTATCAAACTGATAATTGAGATAAACTTGAGAGATCAAAACTAAGAACACAAACATGTCTAAAAACACGTAAGAATTGAATGTATATACAAACCGAGAAAATAATATTTGCAGCGACGAAGTAATTTCCGTTGGTAATGAGTGTAGCACTATCAACCGTGCCGTATTGTTTGGCGGTGCCACCATAGGTCAAGTTAGGCATGTTTTTTGGATCACCAAGGAGAGTGATGAAATCCTTCGTCCTATCAATCGTGACCTTCTCTGTATAAACTCCACCGGCGATTTTGATGATCACTCGCTTCGCGTTATTCACCGGAACGCTGTTAATCGCGTCGGTGATCGTCTTGAAGTCGCCGCTTCCGTCTTGTGAAACCTTAACAACCTTCGGAGAAGCTTCTGCGGCCACCAGGTCTGGGTCCAGAGTTCCCTTCCGGGCAGATAATGGCTGCACGTTCTGTGAGAACCATTGGTCCAATTGATCTTTGTCTGACGGGATCGGCACATTGTCGTCGGATAACACCGCCGTGGCGGCGACGATGACCGCCACCACGGCCACCTGAATTGAAGAAACACGACTTATTTTGGTGGCCACCGTCATGGTTTTTTTTTTTTTAATTTTTTTCTATATTTTTTATAGATAATTTTTTTTTTTCTGAGTTTGATTGGGTTGAGCTATGGAATATTTTTTTTGAGGGACAGTGCAATTTATAGGAGTTGATATGGTTAGATTTGTGAGATTTGGAGAGCTCTTCGCTGTTTGTTTCAAGTTTCAACATCTTGAATTATGAATTTAACTAAAATTGCGAGTGGCCATATTGTTGGTAAATTTCAAAACTGATCATTTACTTCTCTTTAAAAATTAAATAGGACTTGGTCTTCTTTTGTTGCTGTAGTAAAAACAGCAATGTATAGTGTTGTTATTGTCTTAAAGTAACAGATGGATAAGTTAATAGCATAATTAAAGTAGCATTTAAATCCTTCTCATTTAATTTGAAAAACGTTTGAATTTTACACGCACGCACTTATAATATATATATATTGTTTGGACTGCTTATTAGTGGGCCAAAAATGAGAGGCATAGGAGAAGCCTAACCGGATACATCCCTAGAGGCTGAACCCGAGCGGATCAAGGGAACGTTGCGTTTTGAGATAGCAGCGACAAAGTCCAGACACGCCCCCACGTTCGTGAGAAACAAGATGCACTCGACAAGGCACTCTCTCATAGTAAGGCTGTACAAATGATTGGATGGGATTGAACTTCGACTTAGTTTGGAGTTTGATTTCTTTCATAAAAAGAATTGAGTTAGGCAATCCATAATTCAGTCTGATTCAGTAATATTTAAAAATTAATAGGATTAAACTTAGTCTATAAAATTGAGAGACTAATCTTATTGGTCTAGTATTCATTGAACTTTTTTCCCTTTTTTTTCTTCTATTAGAAGCAATAATCCATTTCAATCTAATAAACTCAATTAAGATAATAAAAACACTTATAATCATAATAAATCCATAATAATTTTCAACAACAAAAAAAATTCAATTGCAATCCAGGTGCCAGATTATTAAATTCCTAGTCTGAGCATGTGGCCGTGTGATAAACTAAACTTATTAAATTATTAATAGTCTTAACTTATTATTATAAATAATTAGTAAATTAATTATAATCATATTAAATAAATTTAATAAGACTAAATTGGATCAAGTGATCCAGTAGTCCAGTCCAACTCAAAAAAAATAATTTAGTCTTTTTAGTTTTAAAGGACTGGTTTTTAATAAGACCGAAAAGAATTGAATCTTTTTAAATCAAATTGGGTCGAATAGGATTGGAGGACTTCTGTATAGCCATATTCCATAGTGTGGAACATCTATAGCTCCTATAGATGGCACGGACAGTTATAGCTCGCTCTTGGCAGGAAAAATTTAAAGTCAAATGTGGAGCAATTGCCTGATCAAATAAAAGGAGGAGGACGGTCAACAGGCAAGGATCATCACTCAATCATCAAAACTCAATAGACTCTCTATTTTTTTTTTTTTTAAAAAAACCCAATAGACTCTCAAACAGTTATGGTCAAAACCTCGCTTTGCATGACCATTTTGTGATCTTAGGTAAAAACTAGATTTGTTACTTTGCTTCTCAACTCTGATAACTTGAACCATTATGTTCCCCCAGACTTGTACTGATTTCTAAGTAATGAGTGGTTACTTCCTTCCAAGCATATACATTTTCATTTTCTAAGAGGCAAAGACTTTTAATAACTTAAACTCTCTAAGAAAATTGTGATGAACCTTAAGAACCCACAGTCACTGAACTCTCTGACACACTAGAGGACATATGGCTCCTATGGCACGCCTGTTACAAGCAAGGAGTGCCACGCTTCAGAATTAAGCCAACATATATTATTTTCTTCTATATACTACTTTTATCAAGATAATAAAATATTTAAGATGATCTGTTTTGGTTTAAAATGTTGAGGTTATAAGGAATAAAATAAATCTCTTATGTTTGGATGGCATGTCTAGTTTCCGTTGAAGATCATTTTAATTTAAAAAAAAAAACAGCTTTGGGTTACTTTTGCCAAAATGTACAATCCCATAAAACTATAATGAGAACATAGAGCTATATTTTTATATGTAGTTAGGTATCTTTTCTGCAATGTATACCAGATACAAAGTAACATAGAATTTTGTAATTATATCCTGCTAATGTATATAGAAAATTTAACAAAAAAGTTGCGTCTAAATATATTCCACCAAAAAAATTTTCAAATATTAATTGGCAGTGATTTATTTCAATGAAATAATAGATATATTTAAAAAAAATAGAGGTGAAATTACAGTATGAAACAAAACAAATATAAATAAATATAAACTTTTCTTTTTTTTAAAATGTAATGTTACGTTTGGGTTAATTTTGGTCACAAAAAAAAAAACTAATTTCTTCCTGTAATAGCTTTAAAATTAGGTTGTTTTAGGTCAATTGTTTATCTTTTAAAAACTAAGTGTGTGTTTGGTTTTTAGTTTATATTTGTCAAAAGTATATTTGAAAGGTCCAACTATTTGTTAAATTTGACAAAATTGATTTTACCGTAACTTCGTTTATACCTCCTCATATATGTTATTGCCAACTCCTTGCAGAAGATATGCACGTACTGCTCCAACTATGACTATGCTGTGGATATTAATTGGTGATTTTAATTAGATCTTAAGTCTTAACTATACAAAAGATAAGGTCAATTCTTGTTCTTCTACTAGTGGTTGCATGTAATTTGTTTCATGTATTGATCATTCTCGGCCACTGTTATCCATCAACCTGGTCCTAAATTTTCTTGGACTAATCATCGAAAGGATAAGGCTAACGTCAGAGTTGAACATTTTTTTTTGGGGGAGAAAAAACACGTGAAAGTAGTTATTATGCTCAAAGATTTAAATTAAAGAAGGTAAAAAAATGAAAGAAACACCAAAATTTTCCATACCGTTTAGTGAATAGAAGGAGAAAAAAATGACAACACAATCAATCAGACGGGTCCCTAAAACTTTAAATTAAACAGTCCAAATTAGATTTAGATTAGTCCCTGACTTGTTCAAAACAATAATAAGCACCGCAATTTGATGAGCACTAATGTGGAAACCCACTCTTCAATCTTATAATAAGAACATACAATTGGGTCACAAAATTTGACTAAGGCTAAGGAAGTGTTGGGGGAGGAAGCAACCACTTGGAAGCCTCAATGTAGCTGAGAGTGATGAATGGTAAAGCCTCTGAACGTCTAAGCCACTTTGTGAAATTTGCACGTCCTGTCCTCCTCGCACCTACTCCTTTGTTCTTGTACTCTCCATAATACACAGTGCTACACGTTTTAACATTCCATTAATGCATTTATTAATTCAAGATGAAATTAATTTATAACAAGTTTCATACATAGGGAGAATAACATTCAAAGACATAGGAAGCATCGTGTTTCATAAAAAGGATTTAGGTTAAATGAAAAATTTGCTTCTTAAACTATAGATCCTATAGCATCTAGGACCTTAAGTTCGTTTTTAGTGCAATATTTTCATTCAAATTTAAAAATGTTGCAATATCCCCTACTATTAAAAAATGTTAGCGAACGGTCATTTTTTGTAATTTGTTGTCCTTTCATGCAACTTTGTTGGTCTTTTTTGATAATTTTTTAATTAACTAATAGTCAAAATTAACAATAACGGCGATATTACACTATTTTTAAAAGTTAAAGAGAATTATTGTATTAAAAATTGAGTTTAAAATTTTAAACGCTCATATACCTACAATCTTAAGAGTGAAATTATCGTTTAACCTACTGGATTTTTATCAATAGAGACAACTTCTATTGTAAATGATTAAAAGTGAGATTTAGGTAAACTAACAGATTTTTGTAAAGGAAAATGACAAATAAATGTCATCAACATTGGCAAATGACAAAAGGGTATCACAAAATGAAAGGATTACTCTGAAGTTTTAAGGGCTTATCTGATATAAATTTTTGCAAAATTATGTTTTGACGATAATAAGTACGCTTTTTATCTTAACAACTTCAACGTACTAACAATTTCAATTTATGTATATATTAACAACACAACTATTCATCATAACTTCAATTTAGTTTATATATATATATATATATGATAACAATTATGCTTTCTATAACCTTTTGAATTAACAATTTCAATTCAGATTTTAACAACTATATTCTCTATTATTTTATTAAGAGTCAGAAACATAATTAATGTTGTTAAATAAATCTTTAAGAACTTCAGAATAATTACCCATTTTGGTCGCACTTTTTTAACAATTTCCTACTTTGATGAAATTCATTTGCCATTCTCCTTAAAAAAAATAATTTAATATAATTTGGTTTTTAAGAAAGAGATAGTATTGAAATGAAAAGGCCTTACTTGGGAGCTCCTTGAGGGCTATCGTCCCAGCCGAGAGGGTTCACAATTGAGCTCATGGAAGTGTAAGCGTAGACCACCTTGGGATGTGACATCCACGCTCTCCCCAAGTACGTGCCATTGGCTGTTCCGCTTATGTCGCAATGCACAAACGAATACCCACACGTGTCGTCCGATTGATTAGTCCTTGCTGGCGCTGCTATCACCCCTCCGTTTCTCCCCACCACGTTCAGTCTTGCGTTCTGCCACTCAAATTTGTGTTTATTATATTAATTTCTTCAAATTATTCACACAAGTATTTAAAATTAGCATAAATGTAATAAAAAAAATCCCTTCAATCTTATTTGTAAGTCATTTTTATTAATATTATCAATACTAATACAAAAAAGTATAAAGAATAAAAACAGGTGAAATTTTAAATATAACCTTCAAATAAAAAGTAAAAAATAAACAAATAATATAATATTATTTTTTTATTTTTCTTTCTCTTATTTATTAAGGGTAGTTTTAAAATTTTAACTTAAAATAAAACAATTTCATCAGTTAGTGACTTATAAAGTGAATCAAATTATATTTTAAAAAGTAATTAATATAGGAAATCTATAAATACCCTGGCTCCTTTAAGAACTTGATTTATAACCAAATTATAAAATATAGGAATTGTGCAACCAAAAAGACCATTGGTTCAATTTAAGCAGGGTTTGATTGGTATATGATGAATCTCATTAAAATGATATAAATTTTAATATACTTATAATCAATTTACTTATAATTAATTTTGATACAAAATCAATTAGGCTAATATATATATATGTATATATAGATGGTTAATTAATTACCAGATAAAGAGATTTGCCACTTCCAAAAATGAAATCCATGGTTCCCTGAATGTAGCAATCTTTGAACAAATGCTTGCCTCTGTCGTCACAAATGGTGTCCTGATATCCTAACATTGCGCATCTGTAGAACGCAGCATAGTTGCCGGAAATCCTCAACGCCACCGCCTGCGGCCTCGCAATCTTCCCGTTCGGCATCGGTGCTGAGTTCTATGCTACCAAACAATTATTATATTAAAAATATTATATATAGCAAAATAAAACACAACAATATAAATTGGTGATTAACATGGTCATGTTTTAGCAACATATAAATAAAAAAAATTATAAGTGTCTGCGTATTGATTAGATACAAATTCAATATATAATTACATTTTTCTATCATAATTTTAGCAGAAATAATATTATTCATATATAAGACTTAAAACTAATAACTAGGGTTTTAAACTATATTTGGTTTTAGTTCCAGGATTTCCCATCCCTTCTATTTTTAACAGGATCTGTCTGCAATGTCGGCCCTTGTAATTTGAAAATACTCATATCAACCTTGAGCTAACTCAAAGGGTGTTTATTTTGTTGATTTAAATAGAGTTCATGCCTAAACTACTTTCAAATCATCACATAGTTTAATAGTGTCAAGTTCATGCCAACAAAATAAACACTATTTATATCATCTCTTTGTCATTATATTATAAGTATGTTTCAAAATAAAAGGACTTTACATTTACATTAATCAAATAAAAGGGATGAGGAATATGGCACGAGAATAAACTATAAGGATTATAAGCATACATGAATATTATGATACAAACCGAAATAATGAGATTGACAGCAACGAAGTAGTCAGATTCAACAATCAACGAAGCACTATCTACGGTTCCAAATCGTTGTGCAGTTCCATTGAAAGTCAAGTTTGGCCATTTCTGAGGATCACCATAAAGAGTCACAAAAGGCTTCGTCTTCTCTATCTTTATCTTCTCAAAGTACGTCCCGCTTCCGATAAACACAATCACTCGTCTCCAGTTACCTTCCGGGATGCTGTTAATGGCCGCCGTCACCGTCTTGAAGTCCCCACTTCCATCTTTCTTCACCTTCACCATCCTCACACGTTTCTCTGCTTCTGCAACTGAAGGTTGAATCATCGTCCTTCGTCGTCGTAACTGTGTCGATAATGGCTTCACGTTCTCCTTGAACCATTTGTTCAGCTGGGACTTGTCGCCGGGAACTGGAGCGGTGTCGTCGGAGACGACAGTGGTGATGTTGGTGCCTGTGATGAGAGCTGCAATGAAAGCAGCCACAATAATAATGGTGGAGCTGCTTGTTGCTTTTGCTGCCATATCGTTTTTTCTTTCATGTGACAATTGATGATGATGGTTTGAGATATATATATATATATATATATATCTGAAAGACGATGAAGAAATGTGTAAAGGCATGACTGTGACTGTTTGAGACTTGGAGAGAGAGATGGATCTTTGATGTTTGTTTCAATGTACGTATCTGGGTTTTATGAAATTAGACTGTTATGATTATATTTTATTCCATATATTTCTTCGCGTTCTAATTTGTGTAGTTTTTTCATAAAATGTTACCAAACCTTTATTGAAATATTTTTAATTATCTTGCCAACATGAATATCTTTAATAGATTAATGAACGTCCGAAATTAGAATAATACATTTTAGATTCACATAAGCTTATATAACATCGATATCAAATAAGAATATACCAATTAAATACATCTTAAAATTTTAGTGTGTGTTTGATTTTTTGTGTTAAAAGCTATTAAAACTACAATATTGGAACAGAAGATAAAAACCATGGAGAGCTCTGTAGTTGATTTGATTAATTTTCAATGTAAAACTAGACATACTATAATAAATTTCAAGCCACTCATGAAAATTAGACTGGTCAAAGTATTGATTGGGATTTAAAGATTAATGGTCAAAACTGTTACTGAATTATATCAAACCATTTATAAATTGATCATTTATTAAATCAATTAAAGTATTAATTTAATTGTTTAACGATTCAATCAGGTGGGTTGAACAAAATTTTTATATGCACTAATATATATAATCATATACTTCCTCCATTTTTATTTGTAGGAGAAACAAACTACATCACACAATTTAAAAAAATTAGTTAACTACATCAATTGTGTTTGAAAATAAAAAATTAAATTACAATACCATTTATTAATTATGTTAATCAAATTTTTATTAATTATTTCTTATGATTATGAATGATAAATTTATAAGGGATGATTTATAAAGTTTGTAATAAATATCTATTGAAAAATGTAATTTTTTTAATGTAAAAAAATAAACTAAAAGTAATAGTTTTTTTCTATAAATAAAAACGGGGTGATAGTTACTTAATAAAAACAGACATCACCATTTAGTTTCCTTGATATCCAGAACGGTCATATTATATTATATTAATTTAAATCTTTTTTCTATCTTTTTGCAACAAAGTGAAAGGAAACATTAGGACAACATATACAAAATTATTGCGTGTCAATGAATTAGGATATAAAGTTTTTTTTTCTTGAGTATGTATCCTCTTATTAGAAGTACGATTAGATATTAAATGAGAATATCTCTCTTAATAAAAATTTTAATTTTAATTAGGTTCGTCATGTTTATAAAGGATCAGTCCTTCTCTTGAATTTCAACTACACTGCTCGTTGGTAGGATATGAAATTAAGTCAAAATAATTAATCACTATTTTCTTCAAAATATATATACATGCACATATTTACAACTTTTTTCCATGAGTTTACAAGCAAGTATATGCAAGCAAAAATCTTCCATCGGTGGTTTTATTTTGTGAGTCTTCAACACTCTTCAAAAGTTTCAAATAGTTTTTCATTATCTTTGGAAATCTTCCACGTTCTGCACGTCTTTCTAAAACAAATTTCTTCCATGAACTTGCAAGTGTATGCAAGTCATCCATCTCTTGTCCTCTTTGACACTCTTCAACGCTCTTCTGAAGATTTTTTTTTTTGAAAACTTGTCATCATATTCTGAAAATTAACCAAGCATCTAAATTTTTAAGAATAAAATAGTACATTTTTCTTGGAAAACCAAAGTCAGATTGTATTAAACTCTTGCGTTAATTTTTTTTCTTCAAAACTAATTATTATCCTATTCTGAAAATTAACCAAACATGTAAAATGTTCAAAATAAGATGGTACATTTTTCCTGAAAAGTCGAAGTCACGTGCATCTGGCTCTCGGATCAATAATTTTTTTCCCTCGAAAACTTGCCATCTTTTTTTCTGAAAATAAAATAAACATGAAACTTTCCAAAATAAAATAGTACATTTTTCATGACAAAACCCAACTTAACATCATCCTCCGAACCAAACCTTTTATTCTCTCCTTATATCGTAATCGTATCTCCAGTTTAATTTGCAACAAACCATTATCCTATTCGCAGTCAAAGGACAAGATTATTTGGTGTTCTAATAATTTGATTCCTGGTGATATTATTCAGCAAAGAAAGGATTCGAACTATTATGTAGCAGGATTCAAAATAATTCTCCATTGTCACCTTTCCTTTATTGGAGAGTTCTTTGGAGGCTTCAACTTCCTCTCAAATACAAACTTCTTGCATGGAAAATTTTGCACAGAGCTCTCCCAACTATTGACATTCTAAGAGAGCATCATCTTCATGCCAATGTATCTTGTCCTTTTTCATGCAATTGTGATGAAACTCTTGATCACCTTTTTGTTGACTGTGCATTGGCAAGGGCTGTTTGGTTTAGAGGAATCAATTTTAAAACATCTGTTTTTCAGGGATAATCAATTGTCTCATGTGGTTGCCTGATTTAATATAGAGGCTATTAAAAGATCATCAGTTTGACATGTTAAAGAGTATCTTTATCCTCTTGAATCTCATATATGGTCAAACCAAAACATGATCCTTTTCAATGGCATCTCTATTGATGTTGAACGGATTCTGTCTGACTTTCGAAATCAGTGTTTCTTTTTATTCAATATATGCTCTTGGAATATGCCTTTGGATGACGAAAGTTAAAAGGCAGAACCAAGTGACTTGCAAAGTTGTCATTTGTTTGCATTCAAATCCTGTTAATGGAATCACGATGAAGAAGAACGCTTCCCAAGACGCAAATCTTTTCTCCTGTCGTCAGGAGAATCTGCCGATGTCTTGTCTACAAGTGCATTGTCATCATAAGGATTTTATATCCTCTAGTGCTCTTCTGAAGCAGACTTCTCATCCAATTCTACAGGACATTCAAGCTTTCATCTCACAATTTGATAAACATCTTTTCAAGGGTCTTTAACGAAGAAATATTTTTCTTTGCTTGTGTTTTTTACCGTGGTCCCTGTGTAACAGCATTATTGTGTGACTTTTTCTCTGTATGTATTCCTTTTATAATGAATGCATTTTGACTTCTCCTAAAAAAAAAAAAAAATCATCCTCCGAACCTAAACCGTAGCTCTGGCCGGACCCGATCGCCCTATGATGAGCAGGGGAGCATGATGACGTCGATCGGAACCGGGCGCCCGCAATTGCGACTCTGAGGATTAGGCAAAGTGCAAAGCTGACATTTTGGGACACCACTCACGCGGTTTTTCTAGAAAAAAAATTCATTAACATTAACACCAACTTAATTTAAAAAAAAAAGGTCTTTAAACTCCGAAAACTCACTTTAAACTTGGCTATTAAAGTAATGTTAAAATTAAAATATAAAATAAAATTACTTCAATATCCTTCAATTCTTATGATTCTTTATTCATTAAAGTTGTTTGTATCACTATTTTATTTCAAATATTTTAATCATAATAAAATGAATTGTTCATTCCCTACATAAAGTTGTTTATTACAAGAATTTTTATCATTATTAAATTTAATTTTATTCTAAATTTATAATCATAGTAAAATAAATTATTTATTTCTCTACATGAAATTGTTCGTTAACTTACAAAAAATTATTTGTGATATTATTAAATAACTTCATATAAGAGAATGAATAATTTAAATAGAGAAATAGAGGAGTTGAGAGGCAATGAGCTAATTTTACTTTACATTTTAATTTCACTTTAATATCTCTTATTTAAAATGAATTTTCAAAATTTAAGGTGTGTTTTTTTTTTATGAAGTGTGATCAAGAGCTCTTAAATGAAAGTTTACTATCTTTCTATCTCTTTGAGCTTGATGATGTGGCAGAGGTAGTGGAAGCTGAGGATGGTTTTGGAAAGTTTTCCTCCAAGTCAGAAAAAAATTGGTCAACCGTTTGACGAGATTTTTTTTGACCGAAGTTTCATTTTTTTTTGTTTGGCAAAGTTTGTTGAGATACTAGTTTAATGGCCTCCCCTTAGTTATTTTTCACGGCTTAACACAGATTCACCCATTAAAACAACGTTATGGATATGATGAGGACCAAATTGCTATAGTCAATGCAACACTCGCTCGCTCATATATTTTAAAAAAGTTTGACACCACTTGATGTTCTTGTCCAAACCCGGCCATTCCATCCTCACCACCAATCCTAATCCAGTCCTCTCTGCCACCAGATTTCGAAGCCTTCTTTCTCTCTTCCATTTCACACACTTCAGCTCTCCACTTCCCTTCCATCGATCTTTCTTTTGTTTCATCCACAAGTAAATCAAATGACCACTTCCTCTTCTTCGCTTGTGGCTCTGCATCTCACATCCGCTCCTCGTCTTCTTTCCGCCTTTTCTCCCTCAATTCGTTCCCGAAGGCCTCCCTCTGCGTTTCGTCTCAGAACTCGTGCTATGGGCGCCGATTTTCTCGGCGATTTTGGCGCCAGAGACCCCTTCCCTGCTGAATTGGAAAGCAATTTTGGAGAGAAGGTAGTGGGTTACTCTGACACCGAGCACAAAATCCTTATCCCCAATCTCTCTGCTCTTTCCCTTGCACAGCAACAGTGCTCTCCTGTTTCGCCCCTGCAGTCTCCCATGTCTGAAGATGATGCCAAAAAACTGTTGAAGAAGGTCTGAATTTACACCCATTTGCTTAATTTTGCTCTTTCTGTCGTTTTTTAATGCTGTCAAATTTTGTGGGCAAAACTTTCTTTAGGTTGATGCTCTGATGGATAGGTGAACTTTCAACTTGGTTATTGATTGATAATTTATTTTAGTTTGGCCACAATGAAAAAAATTAAATCCATACAATGTTAACGGTCAGTGGAGCTAAATTGTGTTTCGTGTTAAATTTTGGATAAAAATAGGATCGAAGGACGACGTTTCAAATATTTTAACCATTGAAGGACTGAAATGAAAGAAATTATCTGTTGAGGAACAAATTGAAATGTTGGTGTTTCTCAAAAATGATATCTTCTTATGAGCTATTCTGTCTTCTACATCTGTTAACTGTGATTGATATACAAGCAGGGCTTGAATCATTGAATGATTTATCCTGAAATTACCCATGTATCTATCATAGTTTGTGGCTTGCGGCTTAGCCTGTGTAGAGAAATAGTTTCTGCTTATGATCTTGTTGTCTTTTGTCATAATTTCTGCATTGACAGAACTTGTCTATGTTAGTTTGCTGCTTAGCCTGTGAAAAGAGATCGTTCATTGTAATTTAGAGGGTACTGGCTTTTGGTAGTTGATTCCTGAGCTGTTATAACATATGAAAATCCTGTACTTTGGGAATATGGCATAAGATGATTTATTTTGAGTTCAATATTTTAAATCAGGTTATGTTAGTCCTACGTTTTTGTTCATAACAAGAATTTAACCTATATAAAACTTATCTGAAGAATTATGAGTTCCTTTGAATATAATCTAGTGAATGTGAAGTTTATATACTTGCTGAGCTGTTGAGCTAACTCTTTCTTCCTATATCTTTTCATAGAACTATTTTATATGAAATTTGGGAACAAAGACCATTCCTAATTAGGAATGTACATGGTTTCGGCCGAGGTGGGTTTGTTGCATGTGCTTCTCTTTTTGTAAATTTTCTGAGTACAGAACAAATGGACATCTATAATATGTACCTTAATTTTCTTCAACTCAACACTTGAAGCCTGGTTCTCTCTTTGTTGTCAATGTGATTATAATTTTCTTGGTCATGTTCCAAATCTAGGAAAACAGAAATGCAATTTTTCTTTCATTAAGAAGATATTGCTATCGAGCTGTCATGCACTGTCAGGACACTTGCAAATGCAATCATTGTCCTGCAAGACTTATCTGTTTGAGGGGCCGTTACTACTTACCCTTGTGAATTCTCTGTTCTAGGGTTTAATGTATATACAGTCATTTAAATTTAATGTTGGATGCTTTAAGTTCAGTTTTATACTTGCGATTGAGCTGACATACTCATAAAGTTGCTTCTCCCTGATAATTTTTAATAACAAGTCATGCGAAGAAATTTAGTTTTGTTCATGGTTTCATCAGTTTCCCATCAATATTCAATTATGTATTACAGTAAATCAAGGCTGATTCACTTGCAAACATGATGTACAATCAATGATGTTTACTCTAAGAATCTATTTTGTGGTTAATTAATGTCATTTCATTCCTAGTTTGATCCCAAGTCTTATTTTGAAGTAAGTTCATTCTTAGTCACTGAAGCAAATTTGATGGAAGTCCATTTCACTTTCTTTTTTAAACGCATATTTTTGTTAGTTTGTTTAGATTGTTGGTTGGAGACTACTGCATGAAGAAGGTGCACTTAAACTTCAATGCTTGTGGAAAGTGAGAGATTTTAAACGTGGAGTTGAGCTCATCAACAGGATCCTTAAGGTTACAGAGGCTTCAGGCCATTTCCCAAATCTCCATTTCGAACAACCAAATCAAGTGAGGGCAGAATTATGGACAGCTTCCATTGGTAAGTCCTAAACTAGTCCATTTTCCCGGTTTCATCGGTCAAACTCTTTTCAGTCTATAAAACTTTGTTTAACAAATCAATTATCCTTGGACATGTAAGTGTGCCAAAAATGAGCTATATATCATTCCCAGGTCTCATCTGGTTGAAAGTGTAACTTAGAGAGAAGAATGGAAAATGGGATTCTTAACCAATGCATGCATGTTTGATTCATTGCTTCTACAATTATTTTATTCAGGAATCTTGATACAACTATTTTGAAGGAATTCATTTTTCACCCTCAGAATTGGGGAAGAGCCCCGCATCCGGAGAGTGTTTTCAAACAATGTCTAAAATGCCCTTGTTTCCTTTTTAATTATTGAAGAAATTCATTATTTTATTAGGTTAATGAGCAAATAGAACCTTAAACTATTACTTGAAAATTGCCATGGACCCTGAACTTTTAAAATATGCAAAATAAACCCTAGACTTTTAAATTAATAGCAAAATAAACCCTGACCGTTAACTTTTTAAGACTGTTACTATCCACGCAGGTATTGTTTAGGATTTATTTTCCTACAAATTTAACCTTAACTGTTACAGTACTTGTGTGAACAATAATGGTGTTAAAAAAGTTAATAGTTAGGGTTTATTTTATTATGAATTTAAAAGTTTAGAGTTTATTTTGTATATTTTAAGAGTTCGGGTCCAAGGCAATTTTTGAGCAAGAATTCAGGGTTCTATTTGCTAATTAACCCTATTTTATTACTGGTAATTAAAAAATGTAAATGGGTAATTTAATGTATTCTGTAAAATATATGAAAAAAATATTTTTTACTGACTAAAAATATAAATATTTATTTGAGATGGCCTTTGGATAAATGGATTTGGATTTTGAATTTAAAATTTTACATTTAAAATCTGTACATTACTTAAATGTAATATTTTAGTAAGGATATTATGGTTATTTAACTACTGTTTTCCTCAAAAATAAAATATCTTCTTTTTTTATTTTATTCAGCCCATCACAAAAGTAGAGTGGAAAGCATATTTCTTTTGCATTAAATATTAAACATGATTTTTCTCATTTAGTGTTGGTCCCAAATAAAATGTAAGTTTTCTCTTCCCTAAAAAAAATGTTTTTAATGCCATTCATATTAAAATTCTTTTGTGAACCTATGAATGTTCACTATTCAGCATGATTGAATAGCATGGAGATTTTAGTTGACCGGAAGGGTTTCAATTTGTGCAGGAGGATTGAGTATGAATGACTTCATAGTCGCGGCGAAGATAGATGAGATCAAGACATCAGATCTGGCCCCAAAGAAAAGGGTTTGGGCTTAATGGATCTTGACACCCATTAGCCACTGTACAAGTAGAACGTCCTTTTCACAAAATCACCCATTGTCTGGAATCATAAAGAAATTAGAGAACTTGCTGAGAAGAACTGGATGATCAGTTTTAATCATGTATGCAGAAAAGTAAATCAATGTGCTAACTGGCTTGCTTACCAAATCATGAATGATAATTTAGATATTAAGATTTATGATGTGCTTCCAACAGGGTGAGGAGTTTCTTTTATGATTTAATTGTTTGTCCTTTTGCACAATTTTTATCCGTGAGCTTGTATTAAAAAAATCACTACTAGCCTGGATCGGGTTGGATTCCATATTCATTCTCCTTATTTTTTTATTAATGGTCATTTTCCTTATGAGCAATTGTATGTATACATGTACATACATACATATATATATATATATACATATCAATGTATGTATGTATTTGTTTTGTCCATGTACGTGTACTACATCAGTAGTTTGAGTAGTAGCAATTTCAAGTAAGGGTGAGCAAACCAAACAAAATCAACGGTATCAAACTAATTCAATAAAAATTAAATAAAACCAATCATTAGTAAAGTTTAATTTGGTTTTATAAATTTAAAAATCAAATGATTTGATTTAAGTTTTTTTTTCTTTTGAAGCCTTAATCAAATCTAAATCATACCTTTTATATTTTTAAATGTATTTTTTATAATTAATAGTAGTTTATCAATGTTTATTTTTTAAAATTTTAATTTCAATTAAAGTCTAGTTCAAGTTCAAAATATTTTAATAGAATTCTAAATCCTAACCCTTTCTTTCTCAAGTTTATTATTAGAGAGTGAATACATATACTAGTGTTACTTCAAGAATGATCTTTTAAATAATTTTAGATGTGTAATTCTCCTTTTTTAATTAAAATGAGTTACTTTTAATTAAGGATATTGAGACAAATTGTAATGAAACTTGGATATGTTGTTCATTTCAGTTCATGGATGATAAAGTGAGAATGTGACTTGTAGTTAGAATATAAAAAGCTGAAAAAAAGTAAAAAGTTATGCTTAGACTTAATGTATAATTTTATATGTTACAAAATATTAAAACTTGATCTAGATATAAATCAAATTGAACCATACTGATTTTAATAAAAAAATTGATTAAATATTATTTTTTGTACAAATCGATTAGTTTCGTTTGGTTCTTTTTTTGATCAAAATTGAACTAAACCACACTTTTAATTACCCTATTTTAAAGTCCGACGACTTAGTTTAAATAAGTTCAAACAACTTTAAAGTTGAACATGAAAAAATAAAAGGAAGAATGACATTTAAAGACATCTCTAAGAAATTTATTACTATAAAAGCCTATCTAGTTTTGCATTAAATATTATTTTGTGAAAATATGTATTTGTTAGTGTTAAAAGCTAAACCTTAAATTATTAAATTTTTAAAGAAACTCTAACAAAAAAATATAAATTAAGGTTCAATTTTTTACATCTATATTTTCACAAGACAACAATCCAATAAGTCTTTATTAAGATAAATTTTATTAAAAAGGCCTTAAATATCATTCTCGCAAACTAAAGCATTTTTTATGAGGTTTTCGGGGCTAGTTCAAATAGGTCCAAAATAAAATTCATTCAGTCAAGTGATAAGACTTGAGGCTCCTTTAGTGATAAAAAAATATTTTTTTGCCAGAAAAAAAATTCTTTATAAAGATACAAAATTAAAAATGATATTATTATTTACAATTTCTCTCATTTAAAGATTTCAAATTTATTTTTTTTATAAATAAAATTCCATTTAAGTATTATGCCTTAACCTTAAAGTTTTTTGAAAAGTAAAACATATTTTTGATTTTTTTTTCAGGGTGTTGGATTATTGGATTATTAAAAACTACTAACAATTTGGGCTTAGATATCAACTATTTGGACTAATTTTCAGGACTAGATATCAACTGTTTGGACTAATTTATATATTGAAGCTAGTCTAAATAAACTCAACATGCCCACAATCACCCACTCCATTAGAGAGGTCAACAATTTTAATTAGTGTAGATAATCTCAAATCTCCACTTTTAGAATTTTCTTTTTATTTAGTGGTCAAACAATGAGTTTCAATTTAAATATTTACATTTTTGGCAAAAAGAATTTAAACATTTAAATTCATTTTTTTATAATTTTTGAAATAAATATAAAGTGGTAAAGAAAGAAAAGAATTTACCGATACTCCACCTATAAAATGTACAATTGGAACCTTAATTCAAGTCAAAGTGTCTATATGAACTAATATTTATTCTCTTTGGTAGGGGTGTGTAGAACTTTTATAGTAATTTCCATTATCCCAAACTCTAAATTGAAATATCACATAAACTTCTGCCTCCTTAATAAATCTAGAGCTTCATTAAAGCCTGCTCCTCCCAATCGTGACTCCAATACAATCATTCTATACGAAGAATGAAAATTTAGATATAAACAAATAGTAATAAAAACTAAGGTAGAAATAAGTGAATTAAAAAAAATCTTAAATATAATACGAAAATTCACATCAACATCTCATGACACCATTTTAATTGTAGTGACCTCATCATGCAAGTTTTGCCTTGGCATGATCCACACGCTAACCACTTTGACTTTAATCTTTTATTGGCAGTGACATGGATTGATTGCACAAATAGCATCATATTGAGCGGTTGTGTTTTAATTACAAAATATGACAACAAAAATGTTGGGAATTGAACAATAGATTACATACCATATTGATTGCATGCGGACTTGATGCCCCTATATAGATAGATCATGTGAGAAGAGTATCTACAATTTTAAAATGGAATCAAAATTTTATAAATATAAAGGGAAAGAATTGTGAAGAGAAGAACTCAATAGAGAATGTGCTTAGTGAAAAAAAAAAAAAGAGCCCAAATTTGTTGGGTCGATGTGTGGTTTTATGAAGCCTCTAAATCACAAGGTCAATTTGTAGTAGAAGCTTGACTTAACATATCTCCAAGCCCAAGATGTCGAGTTATTGTGTTGGATGTTTTTTAAAAAAATAAAAGAGAAATAAGAAAAAGAAAATTAAGTTGAAGTCTCATATAAAAAAAATTAATATTACAAATTTATTAACAACTGAATTAAAGTCATTCACAACACATTGATCTTAATTCAATTATTAATAAATCTTATAATAATTAATTTTATTGTATAAGATTTGAATCTCTCTAAAAAATATATAAAAACAAGTATAGTAAAATAGGTTTTCTTTAAAGCTACATTTGTGTTGACAATTCGCTGCCACTTAAAAAGATGATATGGTCTTATTGGGATTAGAAACTAGACGGATATGTTTAATATAATTAATTTTTTAATATTAAATTAGTAAAGAATTTTTTATATGTTTAACATTTGGTCAACATAGTTCATCCCACCAAAATATTCCCTCCGCATACTTTCTTCATTGTTAGCGCTGCACAATATATCTCACCAAAAATTTGTTTAATTGCACCCTCCCACCTCTAGTATTAAAATTTCGGTTAACTGTTGAACTAATAATTTTATTTATTTAATAAAATATTTTATTTACAATTCACTTGAGCACGATTTAACTATAATTTTTATTATTAACTTTTGAAATGATACCTTAATCGACTTAAAATTTGATTCTGTTTGCATTACCTTTACCACCCTTCATCATTACTCCCTCCAGACTTATCTAATTCTTAACCTCTATGGCTTCTGGACTGATTAAATTAGATATATAGGATAGCCAAAATTAAAAAAAAAAGAAGAAGAAGAATCAACATCAACAAGTATCAAAACACAATTTCTTATAGAAACTTTAAATTGATTCACGAGGGAGCAATGAATTAGACTAGAAAGCAAATAGAAAATATATTTATTAGTTTTTTTGAATACTCTCTCAGTCCAATATTTTAAGACACTTTTAACTTAATTACATCTTCAATAAATTTTTAATTGTCTTTAAATTACACATTCTTTTAATATTTATCTTTATTTAATACTGTTTCTCAATTAAAAAACTTTATTAATTACACATCTTAATTAAGAGTTTTTTATTAAAAAATATTAATTACGTCTTGAAATATCTAAAATGCTTTAAATATCATGGTTTTAATTAAAAATTGTGCACTCACAGTCCTATAGTCAGGTTAGATTAGAGACAGGAATAAGGGTCGAGTTTGAAGGTCTTATTTAAATAAGAGTTCGGGTTTTAAAAATTATTTTTTAAAAGGAATCAGGCTTGAGGGCTAGGCCCTGATAAGTCCTGTGAAAAAAGACTCAAGCCCGTGCAACCCTCCAAGCCTTGATAAGCTTGATTATCTCACACACACACACACACGCACGCACACGCACGCACGCACGCACGCACGCACGCACGCACGTATATATATTTGATTGATAGTAACACAATTTGGTTATTATTTATTATAGGTGATGAAAAAGAAATTGTAAAGGTAATTGACACTGAATCTCCATCTCCATTTTCAAAAAGTGCACTTGCATTTGAGAGATCTAATGTTTTATTTGTAAATGATGAGGATGAGGAAGATTTGGGTTTTAATTGATGAATGTGTGTTGTTTAGATTTCTAAATATGTTGTTTAATTTTTAAAATATTGTGAGGATTTTTATTTTTTAATTTCAAAATATTTTAATTAATTTATAATGTTTAATTTTATTTTAATTTTTTATTTTTTTAGAACAGGGCTTCCAGGCCCAACCCTGAGCCTTTTATATAAAAGCTGAACCTTAAAAAAGGGGTTAAAAATGAAAATCAAGCAAGGACCTAGGTTCTTAAGGGTTGGGTCCGCTCGTATTTCCAGCTATAGGTTAGATGCTTTAATTTTTACATATTTAAGATGATTTATTATTTTTTTTATGAAAGCATAAAATTATATATATCATTAATTTAAATTGGTACCAAACCTGAACCCCACTTATAGTTTTTAAGCCGCATTTGTAAACTGCTGCCATTGTAAGATTTGTTCGTATCCCATTTTAAGAAGGAAACATATCCAAATATTTGATAAAAAAAAACCTATTTGTAGACAAATATTGATAACAAGTTTCATCTAAAAAAAAATTAGTTCTTGTTTTCATTGTAACAATAATTTTTTTATATTGATTTTTATCTGTAAATAAATTTTTTGTCAAGTCTTTCGATGGGATTCTCTTTTCTAAAACAACATAAACACATACTGCAGGTCGTTCCATATTTAGCTTCTTTTTTTTTTTAAAAAAAAAAAAGCTTTAAGGGGATTACAAGACAATATAAATAGAACAAAAATTTCTCGTTGTTGTCCAACTCTAGGAGTCACCACTTGCATTAAATAATGTAGCCCAACGATATAAAAATAACATAAACTAGTCTTATAAA